TACACACATATATATATATATATTAATAATGAATCAATTAAAGTTGAATATTATTAAGAAATTAAACGTGTGTATATGCTAAAACATAGCATGTTAAAATGAAATTGTTATATCAGTTTATGTCAAAAAAAAGAAATAAAAAATACAAGAGTAACGAGTCAGCATGATGAAAAATAAATTATTTAACAAGGTGAGAACAAATTATTTAACATGGTGAGAAGAACAAGTTATTTAACATAATGAGAAAAACAAAATATTTAACATAGTGAGAAGGACAATTTTTTCAATAATATAAGAAGAACAAATTATTTAACATGGTGAGAAGAACAAGTTATTCAACAATATGAGAAGAACAAATTATTTAACATAGTGAGAAGAACAAGTTAGTCAACAATATGAGAAGAACAAATTATTTAACATAGTGAGAATAACAAGTTATTTAACATGGTGAGAAGAACAAGTTATTTAACATAATGAGAAAAACAAATTAACATTGTGAAAAGAACAAGTTATTTAACATAGTGAGAAGGACAAGTTATTTAACAAGATGAGAAGAACAAATTATTTAACATGGTGAGAAGAACAAGTTATTTAACATAGTGAGAAGGACAAGTTATTCAAAAATATAAGAAGAACAAATTATTTAACATAATGAGAAGAACAAGTTATTTAACAAGATGAGAAGAACAAATTATTTAACATGGTGAGAAGAACAAGTTATTTAACATGGTGAGAAGGACAAGTTATTCAAAAATATAAGAAGAACAAATTATTTAACATAGTGAGAAGAACAAAATATTTAAAATAGTGAGAAGGACAAGTTTTTCAACAACATAAGAAGAACAAATTATTTAACATGGTGAGAAGAACAAATTATTTAACATAGTGAGAAGAACAAGTTAGTCAACAATATGAGAAGAACAAATTATTTAACATAGTGAGAATAACAAGTTATTTAACATGGTGAGAAGAACAAGTTATTTAACATAATGAGAAAAACAAATTAACATTGTGAAAAGAACAAGTTATTTAACATAGTGAGAAGGACAAGTTATTTAACAAGATGAGAAGAACAAATTATTTAACATAATGAGAAGAACAAGTTATTTAACAAGATGAGAAGAACAAATTATTTAACATAATGAGAAGAACAAGTTTTTCAACATACTTAGAAGAACAAGTTAATTAACAATATACTGTGAAAAATTTGTTTTTTAACTGACCAAAATAAGCTATTCAACTTGCCGAGAAGAACAAAATGTGTAAAGTGGTGAGACGAACAAAATATATAGCGTGGTGAGAAGAACAGATATATCAAAATGGTGAGAACAAATTAGGGGCATTGATAAAAGAATAATCATATAACATGGTGAAAAGATATGGTAATTTATAGGATAAGAAGACTGTGTTGTTCAATATGATGAGAATATAAAGTTTTTCACTTTGGCGAGAAAATCAAGACCCCACCTCTTCTCCAGGGGCTCAGTGGTAAGTCGGTGGGCTTACGACACTAAAAACCAAGTTTTGATGCTCATGGTGGGCAAATACAGGTAGGCCATTGTGTAGGTTCATGCTTAAGAACAACCAAAAGAGAAAATCAAATTATCTTACTATAACGTGTATATATGTATCTATGTATGTGACCGAAATAATAACTACCTTGTGGCGCCATCTATTGAAAGGTTCCACAAACAAATATCCGTAAAATATATCACACTTTGGGTAGGCCATTGTGTAGGTTCATGCTTAAGAACAACCAGAAGAGAAAATCAAATTATCTTACTATAACGTGTATGTATATATATGTATGTGACCGAAATAATAAATACCTTGTGGCGCCATCTATTGAAAGGTTCCACAAACAAATATCCATAAAATATTTCACACTTTGGATATTCAAAATTCAGACAATTAGAAAAATAACTGTGGTATGTGCGACAACCGTTTATTTATAATATAACAATTTTAAAAAAAAATACTCTCCTCACAACAAAAACACGACTTTCACTAGGACTGTACGTGAGGGTTTCATTATATCTTTATCAATGTAATTTTTAAATGTAGTACTGAGAAAATGGAGTTCTTAAAAACATATTTTTTCCACTAAATGGTACCACTTTTAATATATAAAAATATTACAGTTGATATCAGTTAAATTTATTAAAAAAATTGAGCTCTCTACATTAGATAATTTTGTTGCAATGAGTTGCGTATGACTAAAGAGCACAATACGAACACTTTTCCTGCGCAGTTCTTCCCAGAAAAGAAATCCTTATGTGGAAAATGATTCCTATTTTTCAGTGAGGTATGGATACTACGATCAGTATATACTAGCACAAATAGCCGCCCATAAGGTGACGTTTCTGTTGGTTAAATATAATGTTAAAATTAAGTCTCTCACATGATAAAATGTTTCCTATTTTTCAGTGAGGTATGGATACTACGATCAGTAAATACTAGCACAAATAGCCGCCCATAAGGCGACGTTTCTGTTGGTTAAATATAATGTTAAAATTAACTCTTTCACATGATAAACTGACCACATGATTCACATGTTGAAAAAAGGAAGTTATGTAATTTCGTGATAATATCAAATTATTAAACAGTGTCAGAATAAATCCCTTTTCTCCAGAAGCTAATGCATTGGAAGAATTGTGTTGTCAAAAATGTTATTGTTTACAAACTTAAAAAAATGGTCCATGAATCCTCGTACAAAGATTGATATAAAGTTACACGGTGTGTTAACTTACTTGCTGCGGAAGGGTTTTAACATGTTGAGTAACTTTTAACCGTAACGTTGCTGTTAAAGAATTATACTCACCGAAGATAGCGGTGTAAAGCAAACACAAAAGCGTTGAATCGTCCACTAAACTTTTTCACACTCTCCAGCGTTGTGTAAATGACTAGAAAACCACTGAAAGAAACATGTGGAATAAATGAATACAGTATTTTGTATAGGTGACGAGTACCGGAAGTAAGTAATCTGGATGGATACAGTATAGGTAACA